ATGTTAATGTGAGTATGTGTAACTGTGAGCTCATTTGCATAAATTGTAAATGGATTCAGTGTTCATGACTTCTCTAACGAGTTCACACGCACATTTCAAGCGTTGCATATGTACTCATAACCACTTTTGGCAGAAAACTCTCTCGAAGAAACTCCATATCAGTGACATTTTAATGAACAAACAACGAGTGATGGCAAGAAAGAAAAAAAGCACCATGTATTTGAAATTGTATCAAATATTTTAATTAAAAGAACGAAACAACAAATCGTACGGAGTTGAAATGTGCCACGTTGGCTGGAAGATAAGAATACATAAGCTTAAAAATGTTCCCGGAATCACTTTATCCATGCTCCACATATTTATGTACTGTACACATATATATAAATAAAAGAACGATAGGGAAGAAAAAAACTAAAGGCAGACAAAAAAACATATTAAGAACTCTGCTGGCATATCATAAACATCCCTGGCTGTAGACGGTAGCAAATTGGAGTAAAAATAAAATCCAAATTCATTCATACTAATGCATCAGCTTGAGCTCGTAGACATGTAATTATGTACATTGTACATCGCGTACACAGACACATAATCACTAAGAATGTTATTCGCATAGCAACTAATGCTTCAACAGATAAAATTCGCAAATTACAAATGTCATTTGCTAACGAATGCCAGTTAAATTATAGAATGCATATTCAGACGAATTCACCTGAATTCACTTTTGGCAGTTCAAAAATTGTGTGATCCGCCAAATACACACTCGTTCACTCCCAATTTAATTTTGTTTATGATCTGATGAAAACAATCCATCCACCGATTCAAGTCTCCAGTGAATTTCGCATAATTGCCAACTTGGTTTCCACTCTATTATTCACAACATAATGTTATTACTGTTTTCCATTTCATTTCATTAGCATGTTGAGGAGTTCGTCGAATGGGAAATTTGGTTGAATTTATCGAATAAATGCCAAAGTATTTAAAAAGGGTTTGTTTGCTTTTATTGGCACGATAAGGAATGGAGTTTATTTATAAATGTATTTATGTTTCCGAAGTCGTAATTTGCTTACTGCACGTAGGCGTAAAATGTAAATAAATTGCCAATTCAATTTGTGTCAGAGCTAATTTATATGAAATGAAATGTGAAAGAATTCGATTTTAAACATCAATTTCTAATGAACTTATGGAACTTTGCCACACCAATTTGAACCCCAAATTCGTAACTCAAACACCTTTACTACCTTGTTTCATCTATTTTGAAGAAAACACAAAAAAAATCGTGATGCCATTACTGCTAATCGATTCAAAGTATCTGAGAATCGACTGAAGAAATTCAAGTGTTTGTAATAATTAGGATAATTTTGTGTTACAGATAAAAAGTTTGTTCCTTAAGACACATTTCCGATAAGGACTAACAAGCCATCATAACATTTTATATCATACACACATATACATTTAGGTCCCTTTTGGTTCGTTAATGCGACATTCCATGGAGTTTTTTTTCTGCGTAGGAAAAAAGTTTTAACATGGTTGGATTTCAGCTGAAAAAGAATCATCGAACAAGTTAGCAGAATGTCCCCACATTTTTTTTCAATCTTCCATGTCACAATTTCCGTAAGATCTTGTAAAAATTCTGCCTAAACACTACTTGTAGTAGTTTATTTTCCTTCTCATGCTCGCGAAATGCCAATTTAACTTTTCTCGACATTTCGGTGCCGTTCTATCCTCACTCTCTTGCTCTTAATCAACTGCCACTAACTGGTTCCATTCTTGTACGATGTTTTAAAATTAAGACGTTGTCTTCTGTTGCAAGAGATGCCAAGTGTATTGAAACATTTTGTAACATTTGTTATATGTCGGGGGAGCGACACACATTCAGCGGGAGCAAAACATGCATGGAAATACAAAAATGACGAAAAAGTTTTGACTTCGAGAAAAGTAATCATACCATGCTGAATACAAATTGAAATGCTTACGCATCGAAAAGTAGGAGAGTGACAGAGAGAGAGAGATAAGGAGAAAAAAACTTTCCTAATTTAGCGCTCTCTGATGAGCACGCAGTTCATCGTGATGACTCTTGAGACACAATTTCATATTTTTGTCATTCAATTCGCTTGAACTTGTCGTTTAATGTTTGTTTTTCATTTGTTTTGATATTCTGATTATCGTTCGGTTACGGTTGCACGTGTGTTAGAGTGAGTGGCTTTTCAAAGGAATTCGCCGGCATTAATACTGCCCATTCACTTGTAGTATATTTGCTTTCTTGATTCGTACGCATTAGATGTGATTAAATGGATTCACCATCTCTATAATCAAGTATTGGACAGTGGCTTAAGCCAACTTATGCTTTGATATAAATGCGTTTAGAGCGAAGGTCGGCCCAATAATTCGGGTTAATTCATTCACCTTTCATATGCGTGGCACTTTTTTGTGCCGTTTTTACCGTGGCAAAGTATTTAACATCGGTTTCAACATTCCACAATTTGTTGGTTTGTTTTTTCAGCTGTTCGATTTGGTTCATCTTCACATTTTGTTTGTTTACCACATTCAGAAATGCGTGGCAGCTCCACGTTTTTAACGGAGTTTCAATTCGGTAATTATATAGTTTAGTTGAACGATCCAATCATAGAATATGTACAAAACCATAACCAACATGTGTCTTCAATTAAAAACGAATTTATCACATTTCGAAACAGAGCACTTTTTCCAAACAAACAAACCGAAAACAAAAAAAAGAACAGAATTTATGTTATTCAATCAGAAACTTTTTCTCGATCAATTTTTCATTTTCAAGAGTCTGCAAAAAATATGTTTCCACTTTGATAACATCGCCGAACAAGTTCGAAGCGAATAAATAAAAAAAAGCGTTGAAAAGAAAATGCTTGAATCAGGCCAATCTTGTTTATTTCAGCCAATTTTTCGAATGATTTGGAATATGGGTCACATTCGTGCTGTATGTGCATAGAACTAAATGAACCAAGCATCTTTTATCTATGTGAATGAAAGTTTTCGCTGCATTGCAATCACTCTTACGTCGAAGAAGCCACAAATCATGAAGATTTCTGCCATTGAATTTGAACAATGCCAAAGAAATACAAAGTGTTGAGGCATCAGACAGTTCACTCAGTCATCAATCCTTCAGCAAAAACACTCACGCATGAACATATGGTTGCAAAAAGTGGAATAGAGAAAAAGTGTTGAAATCAGTATTTTTCGTCGAAAAGTTTTATTTTGATTTCTATTTTCTACCGCGCATAGATCCTACTTTCAAGCATAAATCCCGGTTAACCTTATTCGCTCGAACTCGAGGACGACGACGACGACGACAGCAACAAAACGAAACTGTACTCGTAGAAAATGGCAAAATATACAGAACAAAAACTTTGTGAAAGTGCATCGAGATGTATACTTTTTTTTGTTTAGCCTTTCTTTTTCAACGGTTTGCAGACAGTTGTTTTGTTTGTGATATGATTCAAATTGGCGCTTGTCTCATTCAGACAAGTTTTGGAAACTTTCAGTTCAATTGCATTCACTTAGAGAGTTGCAAGGCAAAACCAAAGCGCTTCAAGTTTTCGCATTCTTGCTTTGTAGCATTTTCCCTGCAATTTTGTATATATGTCAGTTTTGAAATGCTTTCTTCATCTTTTTCCGTGTGCCTTCTAATTGGACAGACACGCTTAATTCACAAAGTGCTCTTCTTCCGCTTCCATAAAGACAAAGCACAACAAAAACTTTGGTGCATTTATGGAATATTCTACTTTCAACTAAATTATAATTTAAAAGTGTTGAAAAACGCAGCAACTTTTCATTTTTCCCACACTTTCATGCGCACAACCCCAGCCAAAAGTGTCCATTGCTCCTAGCCAGTTGTATAAGTGATGGTATCAAGTTGAGTATACATTGTTGCAGATGCTATAGAGCATATTTACCTTTAATAGTTAATTTCCGTGGAGCTCTTTCAAGATGAACTCATCGCAGTAAAGTTGATGAAAAGTCAGAGGATAATTGAAAAATTGTTGGCAAAATATTGGCCTTTTGATTTGATAAATAATTGTTGTCTGTCGCAAGTGTCCTCCCACCCCAAGCTGAAACCGATTTCAGTCGTTGCAATCGGACGACACTATTTCGGTGTTGTACCAAAAATGAAAGCAAAAGTGATGATAACAAGAGCAAGCAATGAATGGAATATGGAATGGATAGGAAATTTAAACGGATGTTAAATCATTTTCAGTATTTGTTATCAAATTCCGTTGCCATTTATAAAGACTCTTGTCGTTGTGTTATCACCAGTGGAAGTGACAATGTTCTCACTGTATGTGTTAGAGCTGAATGGGGCGAACGATAAACACAATGAAAATGCTCAATAATAATTTGCCAATCGATATGGGGGCGAAGTGAGAGAGCGTGTACGTATGCGAGTGTGTGAGTGTGTATGTGGGAGATCCGTAATGTGTCGCATTGTCCACTTCCCATTTTGCAGGGCTTTTGTGTTGCATTTGACACATTGGCACAATGATTATTGTTGTGCATGTGTACATAACAAACACGAGTGATTTTCAGCAATTTCGTCATTTAATGCTAGTTGCGATCTGGTGACAATACATCACTTTTGATGGCCATGCACGCGATCCAATTCGCCAACAACAAGAGTCTTCATGTTCAATTCAGCTGCCCCTCGATGCTGTTCTTATCAATTTATCATTAGCACACACTCACGCAGCAGTACATTGTTCATGCTACAGGAAATGGTTTCCAGTTTTTCTCCCTCTTCATTCGAAAAAAAAGATACTTTTTGTGTGGACCGAAAGTGTGACAATGAAACAATGCGTGACAAATAAGCAGCAGGACTGCTTTTTGTCGTCCAAAAATGCAATTAAAATTCAGGATATTTTCCATTTTCATCGAATGGGATGACCAGCATTCCACAATATACTTACAATTTTTTTTCAATGGCCGAAACGGCAACCTATGTAAAATGTAATCATATTCAAAACTCTGTACGATTTTCATGTTGAATTTTTTATCTTTATTTTTTTTCCGATTTTCAATGTTTTCCATTTATAATAAGAATATTAAATTAGATTTTGTGGTTTTGTCGGTGTAAATGTGTTACATTCGGTATTTAAGTGTAAATTGACTTTGCCCATGTTAGTAATTGCTAAATGTCATCTTGCTGTCTGCTGTCTGGCCAGTGTGTTTGTTTGTTGTTTGTTGTGGCAATTTTCCGATGTTTAATTGTGAATGTGACTCTACGATTGATGTGTGTTTGTGTATTTATGGGGGTGTCTGCTATATGCGCTGGAATTTGTTCTCCTTGTTGAGTCATTCTCTTATTGAATATAAATGTTTTAACTATTTGCCGTTTGCTGCTATTTCGGTTGGCTATTTAATTGAATGCATTTGTGTCGATTGTACTGTTTTATACAAACGGTATCTATTAAGTGTGTCTGTATTCGGTTTTGTTCGTTTGCGATTGTGTGTATTTGATTGAATCATTTCTTTTAATTACCATTATAATTATCCATCTATAATAATGTTCTATTTAGTCGGTGAATATTAATTTTTTTTTATGTACGTTCCCTCGTTTATTTTTACTTTTACTTTGTATTTCATTTAACTTGAAATGGTCACGTAATTATATTTTACCGGTTGTCGCAGTGGTTTCGGTAAACCTATGAATGCGAGATAATTAACCGTTTTAATACATTATATTACATTGAATCTGTGTTTGTGTTGTGTTTATCGATCGATTTTCATAATTCGGTCTTCAGTTTGGGTGAGTTTGTGTATAACATCGGCGCTGTATTTCATTTATATATATATCGTTAATTTGAAGGATAGAATTTGACATAAATTTTAATTTCGACTCGACTTGAGTCGAATCAAAAATTCGAAACGATTTGTGGGTGAATTAAAGTTCCATAATTGACTCTTTCTATCGATTGAGTATCAATTGTCTATTTTAAATGTCATGGGAGTTTGTTTAGTTTGTAAATTCGGCGATTAACAATTAAATGGACATTATTTTTGTCACCCAGTCTAGACTTATTCTCATTTATCTCCTTCCAATTTCTCTCACATAAAACTCTAGCTCATTAAATATTTTTTTTTACTTACTGTACAGTTTATACGTTTATCATCAATTTTTAATTAGGTATCACAGCCCGAAACATTTTTTTAATCCTTTTTTCTTTAATTACACAATAAAACGTGTCTTGTTCTTCTTTTTCTTATCATTTCATTCTTTTCGCTTCGACTCGCCAACGGTCGACGCCTTACGCTTATCGATTGTTGCTTATGTGCTAAATTGTGTCAAAATTCGGTTAAAATTACAAAATATATTAATGTTTGTAATAATTATGGGTGTTTGTAGAGCAAAATATTCGGTTTGTATTTAAATTGAAAAAACATATTAGCGATTAAAAGCTTAGAAAATTGTATTCGGTTGTGAATTGCATAACCAGAGTTGAATTGTGTGGAATTTTCATGGAGTTACATCTAACGATAAATATCTAACGCTGTTGTACGGAAAATTCGATCGAATAGAAAACTTGTGCGCTCTCCACCTAGCTCGAAACGGAATTTCATTTTATGACAATCAAAAGTCATTGTTAGTTCTTGGCGTAAACGGGTTTGAGAATGGCGCACAATTTTACTTATGAATGATAAATGAATATTAATTACACATTAGATAAACATATTTACAGCAACAACTTTGTTGATGCTCCCTTCAAAATGAAAAAAAAAAAATAAAACGTTAACAGTATTTTTGTTAAATAGAAATTCAGTGTAGTTTTGGCCAAATTTGTATAAACGCTACATCCGACGAAAGGCGAAATGGTTAAATTAGTAATTTAAAGTGTTTTTTTCAACGCGATGTTAAAAATTAGAAAAAATATTGAAAAGAAACGGAAGTTGAGTGGAATCATAGCTCTATTCCGAATTCGTGTCGTACATATAGATATTATTAAGCTTGTCATAGTGTGTTGCTTCAAAAACAAATGCAAAAGAAAGAAACGAAATTCTGATTTTTTTTTCTATTGAACCTGTATCGAGATGAATATTTGTTTCTTGCTTGTTCTGAAACATCACAATAACAGATGCGCGAAAAACAATTGTGTTCATTTAAACACAGATGCACAATTAACATTGATTAAATACGAATTTGGCGACTGACTAAATACCGCATAACTTACGTCGAAGTGTTGCACATTTAAACATCGACTTAGAAATGTATTTTCTATTACTTATTAATTAACCGTTCAAATGTACAATGTTCAGATGCTTTGTTTTTCGAGGGAAAATATGAACCGTTTATGTTTTTAAAAAAAGAATTGCAGCACAGTCTGAAATGAAAATGAAAATGAAGAGCGAATTAAAGCAAAGTCGTTTACAGAAAGGCAGTGGTAGAAAACACAGATGCGAAAAGAAACGAGAAAAAATATATAAGCAAGATGAAATGATATGATTCTCACCTTGTAAATGATCCTTTCGTCTATCGATAGAAAATTTCTTGTTTCTTCAAAACGTGGCATAGCATTTTTCTTTGATCGTGCCCAGACTAAGTCAATTGATTGGCGAGCAACGAGAGCGTTGATTTGCCTCAACTTCGCCGATTCCATAGAGCAAATTTCAGGCTCTTTTGCATGGATTCGGGACTCTTCTCGTGCTTTATCTTGACGGTGCAACTGTTGTACATCGGAGCCGTGGCACTGGTGTGAACGGTGTGCTCGACAATGGCTGATGAAGGCGGGTATTTGGCGGTTCGGCAGCTGCCATAGATGGTTCCATTAGACGAAACCGTTCCCGTACAGTTCGGTGCGGATGACCTGCGTAAAGATCGTGTGATTATCGACTTTTTCTTACGTAAACTTCCGATGTAGCTGCAGCTTGCTCCGCTGCTGCTACCGCTGAATCCGCTATCTTCACCGATAACAATTTCACCTACATGCAAATCATCTTTCAGGTCCAATGATGTCAGCTGGGTTCCCAGTGTATCAACAACGCACGACTGAACGGTTGGCGCTCGCTTGATCATCAACGGTGCTGGCTCGGGCGGTGGACTCGACGACATCAATAATTCTTCGACGGATAAATTCAATTCTTCCAAAACGCGATAGTGATTGTTCAAAATGTGTTGGAACTCTTTTTTCGTGCAGCCACGATCGTTGTTCAATGATTGGGCCGACGAAACGAGTCGATCATTTTTGTCCTCCGAAACATCTTCGTAGATATTTTCATGGGTGCCATAGCGACTGTGATTTGCATGCCGATTGGCCGGCGATGTTCTTTGATTGCGTTCTTTGCATTTCATGAGCAATGCGCGCATCGAATTCGGTGGTGGCATGGTTGATGGGCCGGCAATTTCCTCAGGTGTTGGTATATTCGAATGGCACATGATGGCGCCCGGTTCATAATACGCGTACGCATAGTCCTGATGACTGTTGTGACTATTATGGCTGTTGTGACTGTTGTGACTGGTGTGGCTTGTGCATGACGAGCTTTCCGACGCTGACGAAGGCGATACAATCGGCTGGAATCTTTCCATTGTCACGGCAATGTTGTTTCGTGACCACCTCACTTGAGGGTCATATATTTTTTGTCGCTTCTGCCGGCCGCTGTCTTTGTAATACTTTGCACACGCCGTTTCATCATCCACACAAAACTCAATGGTATCGGGATCGTCTACAAATTGATGATGCGTTGGCATTTTTCGACTGAGTGATTTGTGTGGTGTCGGCATGTCGCATGGAGGTGTTAAATCGGGGAATGTTGGAGATGACGAATCATAGTAATATCGGCAATTTGCTCCTCCGCATAGCGCATTTGCCAAGTCATCGTGTCGTTGGTGTTGATGTTGGTGTTGGTGTTGCTGTTGCTGTTGCTGATGGTGATGGTGACTCTGTTTCGATTTGTGGTGCGGGTGATGCACTTGAACGATATTGTTGTTGTTCATTGTACGTCGATGAGCGGTTGCCATTCTTTCCATTTTCGAACAAAATAAAATTCGGTCTCTTGATTCGGTTAATAAAGCCAAAAATTAATTGTTTTCGCTTATCTGAAAGTGGATAAAAAATGGAGAAATGACATTAATTAATTATGTATGCTAAACCCTTGAGAGAGTTGATATATTTTGGTCAAAATAATTATGAATTGGAGACACAAACACAAAGAGAGAGAAAACAGGAATTGAACTTCAAGGGTCATCAAGAGATAATAGACGATTGATGTCGCATGACATTTTCTGTTTTTCCACTCGTTTCTTTTCTGACGTACAATCCACACTACGTACGTCATAAATCATCAACGAAATGCGTGTGAAGGATGACAAAAGAGAGAGTGGAAGACAAACAACACAGAAACCCACAATTCATTTTAATTAAATTTTCAGGCTTGAATCGTATGTCCGACAAATTCTCTGACTCTACTCTACATAGCATGTAGTGTGCTGTTCACGTTGTTGTTGTTGTTTTCGTCAACAATTTGAATGTATAATGCCGTCATACTCTTGCATCCATTTTATCGATATACATGCCGACGGCTACGATGTACTTTATCTTGTGTGTGTCATGCAATGAAGACCGAACGGCCAAGCAAAAAGCAGAGAAAAATGTCAACACAGCTCAATGATATGGGTATGGAGTTATGAAGTACGAAGATTACAATAATATTGACTTTTCACCAGTTTTCTTAATGCGCTCGTCGGCCATTCGGAGGCAATGCAACGGAGAAGAATATAAATGATTGTTACCAGACACTTGAAACTTTCATAAATTAATAATAAAACTAGTGGGTTAATTAATTTGCTTTTTACTCGTACTTGCTGTACTTGTGAGAAGCGGCTCAATTACAGGGCACATCGGGCATTGTTTGTCGTGTAGCTGTTGACGCTTTCAATTCGATCATAAATTCTGATTTTACTGAAGAAAAAAAAAACAGGAGCTTGTTACAAAAAGCTGAATGGATCAGTCGTGATTGAAAAATACTACTCAATGAACAAATGGCTGCATTTACGCATACAATCGTAGTAATAATGTGAATGGTTTTTTTTTGTTTTATTCTTGAAAATCCAAATTGATTACATGATAGTTTTTTTTTGCTTCGGGTTGCCACAATTTTCTAAATGGCTGCCAGTTGATTGTATCAATTGAAAGTTTTTGTGATTGTTCCATTAGTGGGATTGCGTTCATCATGCCGAAACAGTGTGACGAAAATAGCGCGAAATGTGTTGAAGCCTGAAATAAAATATTCATTTTTCTCGTCGCTTCAAGAGCAGACGATCATTTGGTTGACGAGAGCAGCAAACCAAAAAGACATCGTCAAAAAATTGTGATAAATGACTGCTTGATGTGAAACACAGTTGAGTAATAAATTCCAAACCAAAACGACAGCCAAATGGAAACAATGAGCCCAAATTGCATGTGTCGGCGTGCGCGCACATATACCGCATTTCGGGCGGTTGTTTGTTTCGGGGCTCCTCTTGTCCCGACGTATATGTAGTAGACGCACTGCTCTTGTCGGCTGCATCACTTGTACAACTAATAACAAACCATTTGAAATTCAATTAATAATAATTATTCCATTCAACATAACTGGGAAAACGAGAATGTAATTCATATTAGGTGCTGTGTTGTACACGACAGATTCATTTGCCCATGCAGTTTCTTCTGTATAAATATTAAGTGGAGCGTGTTCGTCATACGCCCTGGGACGCAGCCACATTGTCATAGTTTTCGGAGAAAACTTGGGATGCGTGTGCGTCGTGCCATTCATTTGAAATTCAAATGATTACAAAAATTTTGTGACAAAAACGAAATGAATCGGTCCCATCGCAGTCAGTCAATTGTGGAAATGTTTGATAAATATAATCGGAATGCTCACCGATGGCAACGGTGGCGGAGGCGACAAGAGCACGATGAAAAATGACTGACGTTAACGGTGTGACAAGGAGATGCCTTTGCATAACTTTTCTTGTGTTCAGATGGCAACAAATTGACCATTTTCGCTCGGCGGAAAATGCAAAGTCTTCATTCCGAATGAGATGAGACGAGAGATGGGGGGAGATCTATCTGTTTTGCAATGATTTTGATTAAACACCCAGTCTGACACTAATTTTAAAATGAGTTTTCGCTTTGTGTTGTTGGAAATTCAATTGGTTGAACTGGAAAAACGGTTATCAAATGGGAAAAACCGACGGTGAGAGATAAGTAAATGGCCGCAAGCCACTACAAATCTGACTAAATGGCAAACGGGATAAAATACCGTAACACAAATCTCAATGATAAAGTGAGAGTGTCGAGTACCAAACCGAAACAAATTCATACAAATTTTAATGGATCCATTCGGTTCGGTGCGAAAGTAGCATTTTATCGCTAAATTTAATCTTGATTAAATTCCTTCGAATTTCGATTTGAGAAATGTGTTACAATCGCTTTTGCGCTGCTAATGCCGATGCCCAGTGGTTTTGTGTGGCAATGGAGGGATAGAGAGAGAGAGAGAGAAAAGAAAGACGAAACCAAACGAAGAAACATAAATCATTTGCATCGGAAACAGCAACATCTCGTGCGAGAGTGTGAGGGCATGGCAGATATTATTCACGATTCAATCCAATTTTCATAAGTTCATAAGGTCGCCTGGAGGAACAAACGAGCAGTCGATTGCCTGGAACAAACGAATTTCCATAACATGTTTTTATCTTTTCTCGTCTCCATATCAATCAATGTCTCCGATTTTTGCGTAACGCATTTGCAAAACACCAATCTCGTTTTATCTGACTCAGTGAATTGTCTAATCCATCGATTTAATGTTGGCCGTTTGAACCTTCTTCGCTCAACGATATTCACTTCAGATAATTATCTGCAGCTTCTGTCAAGCATTCCCATTTTATGTTTAATCACGAAATCAATTTTACTTTTCTCGAGCCATTTGCACATCCACCAAATGGACAATACACAATTTGATCGAATCGAATGTCCTAAGTCATTGTCCAATTCGAAAAAGTGCCATGTGCTCGCTCGTTTAACGCGTATTGATTTCTCGTTGATATGTAAAACCAATGTGACTCGCTCTCACTCGGCAGACAAGACGTTGCTCAGCATATTTTGTGGATACACTATGGCCACTTTGCAAAAGACGTTTGTTATCCACGAAAAACTGAAATCTAATCTCTGTTAGCATTTCTCTTTGCTATCTTGTTTGTGATATCGGCCGAAACCGAAAGCAGCCAATGCAATTAGCCATAAATAAGTCGCCGAAGAGATGACACTTGAATACCATCTACTCATTTGCAATGGAACACGCTGATCTGGCACAAATTCGCACAATTTCACTTCAACGGAAAAAAATGACATCATTTTGTATTTTCATGTCGTCCACATGGTTTCACTCTTAATCCCATTTTTGCCTCGCTGTGTGACTAGTGATACATTCAACCGCTCGAAATGTGTCTGCTCGGCAAATGTGAGAGCAGAAAATGAAAAATAAAACGCACACACCACACCATCCGAGAATATCAAATGAACGAATCTTTTCTCAGCACGTAAGTGTTATTTCGCCATACTTCTGTCACTGATTTGTTTTGATCACATTCCGAACATGAATTTTTCATGTAGACAATGGCCATCCATTCGTATCATATTTTCATCTAATTTCCGTGGAAACTTGATAATCAACCGAAATCACATATTCTACTAGTCGTATCAAGTCAAAACATTACAATTCATATTTGGTTGCGAATCTATTCAAGAGTTTCGTAGAAACAAAAGAGAGAAAAGAATCAAAAGAATGCGTCGTTCGAGTTGTTAATTAAATAGAAACGCTTAGATTACCATCACATGCGCGCATGAGGGCACGACTTATTTTGAAATGTAAAAATGGTTTTCGTCGATCTGGCTGAATTTCTTATGAATCTCTTTTTTTCTTTTTCCTTCAAGTAATAAGAAACTAATTGCAGCTGAGAATTCATTTTTCTTCACTCCAATAATTTGTGTGCAATTCAACGAATCGAAATCATTGCAGAAACTCAAGGATATCTGATAACTGCTTTAACGCAGAAATCGAAATGTCGTACGAAATAGTTGTCGCATTTTGTGAGCGAACAAATGTCGTTGAATCGTTTTTCGTTTGCGTTTTTCATGCGTCGTCGGTAACATTAAAAGCAATCAAATAAAATGAAAGCGAATAACGAAAGCAAATGTCTTTATTTATTTGTGTGACCGAATGTTCATCATTAAAGGATTTATGTGGAAACGATGTGTGTGGCTTGGGTTTTTGCAAAAAAATTCACCATATAAAACTTAATTAACGGATTTTTTTATGGTGTAAAAATCGTCAAAGAGCCGCATAGCACAGCCGTTTCATGAGCTGCGACAGTCTCGTCTTGTGTGTTCGAGCCAATGAAAATTTTCACAGCGGAACTGAGCTGAAAGAGAGCTGAGTTTGGCGCTTGGCGTGAATTTACACAAATTACCAAATGATATCAATCAACTGCAAGTCAAACGCAGCAAAATGATGGCGTGCCAAGTGACACACGATTATTCTTAGAATTGCTTTGATGCAATTGCACGGCGCACAGCTTTCCGAAATAATATCCAAACGAAACGAAGAAAAGCATTAACTCGAGCTAAGTACTAATTTCTCAATTTGAGCCGTTTGAGATGTCGATGTCAGTCCATTTGATTGAAGTCAGCTGGTTTTGATGTTCGTTTTGAAAATACAATATCTCAATTTTACCCAAATTTCCAATACCTCTCGAATATAACAGAGGCTGTGTTGGGCTTCATGCGGTGAATATTGAGTGCAAAGCAAAAATAAAAGCATTAAATCACAGCAAATTGACCGCAAAGCGTGAAGACCGAATATTATCAAGGAAAAAACTGAAGCCGGCAAAGCGAACGGGATGAGATAAACACATCGAGCCAAACTTCTCCTACGACGAAATGGATTTTCGAGAAGTTAAAACAGTTTTTTGTTGTTGTTGATGAAGAGCTAAAGAAAGCGAAGAAAAAAGTGAAAGAACAAATAAACGGCGAAATCGAAATCAACTTCAATAAAATTAAA